AGCCCAAGGCATGATATACCCCTGGCAGCTGTTTTTGAAGTGCCGGTGTTGGTTAGGTTAGTAGTTCAAAGATGGACTTGCTACAGGGCTGCTTGTGTTTCACATCCTCTAAGGTACTAGCATCAAGCAGCAGACAAAGATTTGAGATATTCCCCCATGTAACTCTTCTGTAATAGCCAAAATACAAAAAAATTATAGGATTATAATGTATTTATTTTAACACCAAGTAGTCAACAATACTGTCAGAAAACTAACAGGGCTTCTACTGCCTATAAAATAAATTAAAGCAATTATAAAAAATGATTCATTAAGTCGAAGGTCCCATTTAGGGTTTTAAAGTATCAAGAGTACATGACAAACATATCGTGACAAAAAGAAGTATGTTAGATAGAAAGAGCAGGGAAAGTTATTAATTAGAACTATGACTTAATTTTCACTAAAAATATTAGAGTGCTTAGCCCATGAAATATTTATATAGACAGATTTAGGAATGCATCTCCAGCCACCACGGGTATTTTAGAACTGTATTTCACAGGAAAATCAATCTTCTCATTAAAAACTTGTTATAACTTACTTATTATACACAGAATAAAACACAGAATTGCAAGATACAAATAAATTGATTTCCTAAAATTGTTGTGAAACCCAAAATGAGACTATCTGCCTCTTAATGCATTAAGAACACTAAATATGAGTTAAGAATTCTTTCATTTCAAATTCCATTTCAAGTGCTGTTTTCCTTCCTACACTTGGCAAGGAAGCTCTATTCAAAACAAAAATTATAACTTTAGAAGTTTGTTGGGTTTTTTTGTTTTGGTTTATTTAAAGACCATGAAACAACTTAACCAAAAGCAGTAACATCCAAGAAGAAAGAAAAAAAGACAATCACTGTTCAATTGCTCTATTTTCTATTTACTTTCATCTCACAGGAACTAGGGAAGCCACCAGTACACACCAACTGCAGACTAGCTGTCTCCACAAAGACAACTGGCAAAAAGCCACATGGCGTTTGGAAAGCTGAGGAAAAAGTTTAGTGAGAAGCAATCAGGCCATTGAGCATACTTGGAGAAGCATTCTAAAGTTATCAAAACAGTCACTTCACTGGAACCAAGAAGAGGCCAAATCATCAAAGATTTTCCACATAACTGATACATGTATCTCTTGAATCAGTGGTCTCTTTCTAGCTGGCAAATATTTTACAGAATAAGAGCTGTTCATATTATTAAAGTTCACAGCTGTAATTCAAGGGGAGAATGTGGGAAAACTACATTTGTCAAAATCCTTATTTTTATTTGCTCTCTTAATTTGCATGTTACAGTCAGTCATGAAAGGACCTGCTAACCAGCAGCTAAAATGAGTTTAACGTATCATTATTAACAAAAACTTCAAAAGCAAAGATGTAATTAAGTATGTTAATGGCATAAGTAAGAATAAGAGAAAAGAATAAAAAAAAAAATCACACACTTAGCTACCACAAGTAAAATACATCCTTATAGTTAACAGGTGTCCTCACCTGTATCAGACACAATTTTTCCAGTCCAAGCAATTCCATTTTAGTATAAAATCTGCCTTTAAGTTAAATATTTAATTGAAGTCAGGGAACACAGCCAGCAAGTAGGTTAGCTGTTTCTGAAAAAAACTCATCACCTACCAAACTGTGTTTCAAGTATCTGATTAAGTGTGAATATCTGGAACAAAATGTCCAAAAAGAAAAGAGTCCTAAAGAGATGTTTTGATATATGATTTAGCTAAGCTTTTTTCCTTAACAGAAGCATTTGTATCAATTTCAAACATTTCAATCCAAATGCAGCCATCAAAAAAACCTACCAAAACCACCCATGTTCCATAACAGAACTATTTTAAATGAAATTATCTGCACAAATTATTGAATAGGGAAATGGAGAGCACACTTGTGACAGATGAAAAACACATACTGCTGGTGCCGCAAAGGCTATCTGGTTACAAGTTCTTTGGTTTTGCTTTTAAATAAAGGGACCAATTAATCTTTTAATCTGCGGTTTGTTTGTGATAAGGCACAGTTGAATCAGTTAATAAAATAGCTGTGGCTCAAATCGATCTACTCCTACCATATTATAATAGCAATGAGAAGACACGTTTGCCTTCTCATATTTTCAGAACTTGCATTTCAACTTCAGATGAAGACACCATGTTTGTAAGCATATCTTGCATCAATGCCCATGTTATTTGCACGAGAGGAACCACACGTAAAGTTATAGCTACAAAGAATATAGGGAAAAGCAATGCTTTGGCAAGGTTGCTACAAGTGCTACAGCAGTTTTACAGCATTACACCTCCACTACAGACTAGATGTCAACACAAATGCCATTCCATGGCTAGTTAAAACCAAGCACTTACACATCTTAAGAGAGCAGACTGAAAAATTTCTATTTATGGGTTGTGACTGTATTGAGACTAAAACCTCAACATTATTTCATTAGGGACTCAATGCAGCACTATACCCTCATATTCTTAAATGAGATCACTGAACATCAACAGAAAATTTGAGAATCCAATACGCAACAACCAACTAGCGTAGAGACCAGCACGCATGCCTAAGATGAGGTTAAGTGAGAAGAAGTGAGTTACCTTTAGTTAACTGCCTATGTTCATCTTTCTCCCTCGCAATACTACATCCCACTTATGGCTACATGCCTGCTTTTTGGACAGTTTCTATTGAGGGAGATAAAAAGTATATTGTCCTGTGAGTGCTTCATGTACAGTAACTTCAAGACTGACTTCTAAATTGTCTCTAGGAACAGCTAAAGTCCACAGAAAGATTAACAAAGTCTCCTTGCCCAGTCTTTCCGCAACACTAGTATCTTGGCCTTGTCTGACCTTCCAGATGACCACTTTTAGACCTAGACATTCCCTAACTACTGTACTGCAAAAAAAGAGATAAAAATATTACCAGGAACTGATTAGAAGAAAAGGAAAGCAAGCAGGACAACACTGGAAGAGGGAGTTGGTCAGTATGACCCAAGAACTCCATCAAACTTTCCTTTTAACTACATATTATTACTCTATTTTGTTTATAAAGAACTTGTTCTAGCACGACAGAAAATATTTCGCTCTAACAGCCTTTTCCACATTTTATTGCAAAAGGTGCTCAACAGACTTCTTGATGTTTGGGATGAGAGAACTCCATGTGGAGGAAAAAAAAAAAAATCCAAGCCTTTACAAACAACTGAGATTTTCAGATTTCATGGACAAGTACTTTAAGGTTTCAAAACAACACTAAATACTAGCAACCTATTTTGTTAATATGCTCTGAAAAGAATCCTGTGGAATCTCTGAAGGGGCCTAAATTAGCAGGCAGCAGCTTTCCCTTTCACATGCAACAAAGCTGCAGTCTTGAAGGCTGTATGCACACTGATAAAAAATACCACTAGCCACAAAGTGATGCTTACTCGCATTACTACCTAATCACAGGTTTTCATCACAACAATTTTGGAAGAAAAATACCAAGGAAGTACTGTTATTTCAGAAGAACTGCAATACACACATATCTGTCAGGTTACCCTCCCTTCACACACACTCTTAAACTTATCTAATATACACAGAAGAGAAATAAATGGCTGTGTAGTTCCGAATGTCTCACTACAGATAAATATTACCACCAGTTGTTTTGGTCACCTTTAAGTTCCATCTGACTCTGTAGCAATACAGGCTCTACAAGTGTTAGGGTAAGTAGTGTTAACAAAGACCCCAAATATAACCACACCTGGTTTAAGAAGAAACAAAAAATCTTGCTTTCCCAGTTTAATTGTTAAAAAAACCTCACGCACTCCTTCACAGCAAAAGTGAGTATCATGGTAAGAGGCCTGAATTAGTACTAAACACTGCAACTGAAACACAGCCGCCCTTCATCCTATTACAAAAGTTGAACCACGGTACAGCTGGAACAATTCCTGCCAGCTTCTTCTCATGTAAATATACAACACAACACATACATATTTGCCACTATTTTGTTATAAAAACTCATGTCCATGAAGAGGAATAATTTCAACTATTTACCACAAAAGCAGAAAACACCTAAATACTTACAGTAAGGTATTCTACATGATAGGGGTTCAAACAACACAACACTTCAAAGTATTTTTGCAGTTAGGGAACAGTCATTTGTAGAAGTGTGACCACGTAACACAAAAAGTATAATCACTTTAAGACATTTTTAAGCTGTGACTACTGACCCAGTAGTCACAGCTTACAAGAAATCTTAAGTCACTGCAAAAAAAAAAAAGCTCAAACATTTCCTCATGAAATTAAACATTTCTGAAACTCACTACAAATCTATAATTAAAGAGCACTCAATATGAATGGTACCGTAACTTTATGAAGCCTGCTTTATTCAAACACTAAGGTTAGTAATTTTATTAGAGACCACGCAGGATTTTTCTAAATAGAAAATGTAAAAAAAAAAAATATTACTTGTAATTAATATTATTATAACACTTTTCATAATTTGAGCCTTTGTGTTAGTGAAGTTTGCTACTCTTCAAGGTAAATAATAATTTGATTCTTAGAAACATCTGCCTCAAAATCTCATTTAACTTTGAATGTTAAAAATAGTAAGTCTTATCACTTTATATCCTAAATAGTAATTATAGCTTCTATAAACAATAGTTGTAATTTTCCAAAGCTAGGATTATAGCTATATCAGAATTTATTTTTATTTTCTGAATAGAACTATTACAGAACATACTTTAAATCACAAAATTCATCAATGTTAAACTGTGAACTCCTTATTGAAAAGGCAAATGCAGAGCCCATACTAAGTTCACTTGAAAAATATACGGAGATTTACAAAGGCAGAAGACAGATAATATCGACATCTTAAATATCTTCAAAATGATGGCAAGCATCATAATGTTATTTTTTTCCATTTTAATTTTGATAGAATTTTTAATCTCCAAGGAAAAAATCATAATAGTAAACACCTCTAAATACTGTTTTAACATACTTGAGGGAACAATACTTACTGCCAGGCATTGTTAACCAGGAATCTGTCTTCAATTTTGCAAAAATATAATCAGCTATAAAGAAAACAAAAAATTAAGTCAATACAATAGCTTTAGACAATTTACATCCAAATATACGTAGAAACTTGTGCAGAATGAGACAAAACCACATTCTTCAGCTCCCATATCAAAGAGGCTGTTACCACAGAAACCTAGATATCATTTTATCTGAAACAGACTATATGTAGGTTTTGCCAGTTCTTGAAATTTAGTCATTATGTTCTTGCATTTGATGCCCGAACAAACATTTTTCTCCTCATTTATTGGGATGGCCTTTCCAACTGCCACTGTTTAGGACACTAAATGGCGTACAGCCTTACAGGATACTTCCACTTCAAATGTAAATAACAACATTTCTCTGTTAAAATGCCTGTGAAAGGTTTCTGTTCTATACAAAGAAAAATGATGCTGAAAAATCTGTGTGCCACCTTCCAGGACATTTTTCTGCCAGTATCAGAAAATATAGGTTTTAGATCAGAGAGCAAACTACTACAAACAATAGGTCCTCTAATGATTTTTGATGCAATTAGATAATTTTATACAATTAACTCAACCAAAGTTACAACAATCTATTCTTTGGATAAAAATAGCCTGATCTACCATCTAATTAATTAGTATTAAAATGCAAATCATTTGAAGACTTTTCTATATGAAATCAGTTTTAACTGCCAAATGCAACCTCCCTGCAAATGTACCTTTTCACTAATATGAAAAACCTCAGTTAAAGAGATTGAGTGCCGCTGTTTTCAAAGATAAATAAATAAATAAATAAAATTCAGCTAATAGTTGTTTATATATGTACATGAAAAAACTGTAATTCTACACACTGACAATGTGACAGTATATATTTATTTGGTCACAAAATATGTTTTAATGATCACGCACTAAAGCAACTTTCACAGTTGCTAAAAATAAAGTTTCAAAGGTTCCAATCTGCTAGTAGGAACTGTGATTATAAACAGTGCTTTGAAGTAATTTATTTAAAATATGCCATCCTGTTAGAAAGCTGTATGTCCCTCTTCAAGGACGGAGTTAGAAGCCGCGTAATTTTATAAAAGGAAACACGCGCTGTGGATTGCCATGTTCAACAGACACATGGAAAAGTGAAATCTCTAATTTAGAGGGTAGTTAAGAACTTAGCTGAGAGATTACAGAAAACAGATTTACAGACGTACTGGAACATAAAAATGCAAAGAGCCTGATGAGAGGTTCAAGGGGTCAAGTACCAGAGACTCAGAGCGTTTTACTGACCAACACTAGCAATCAGGAATGTAATAAATTTTGCTAGAATGTTATCACTGCTGCTGCTAGCAAAGTCAACTAACTTTAGAAGATATTAATGCAGAAAAGTTGTATAAGCAACTAAAGTGTTCAAATTGAAGATTCTGGGGTTTGTTTTTAGGGAGTTCGCTGGATTTCTAATCATTTTATGATCTCTAACAGGACCAAAAATTCAATATGGAGGTGGCCTGGTTTCTACATGCAGAACAGAATACACAATTTCCTCTGCATAAAGTGCTCAATCACAGGCTCGTTATGCCTAGGGCAAAATTTAGTCCACAGATGCTGCTATTTGTAGAACTAAAATAAAATGAGAAGCTTCCCACCATGAGTCTGCTCTGCTGTTTGTCACTGAATTAAATTTTACATATCAAGGCAGGGGGAGGGGGAAATCAAGAAAAAAAAAATCTAGAATTTGATGAACTAAAACTCAGCTACAATTAAAAAAAGACACATGGCAAACCATTAGATATAATGTAGTTTTTCTAAATTGACTAAAAACACTTACATATTCCATGTCATTCTGTGATACTTGACAGCTGACCAGAAGCAAGTTAAGGATGTTATGTACCCATACAACATCTCCTGCACCAAAGCACCTGACTCCTGGATTATAAAGAGGTAAATAAGAGTCATGTCTACTTTTCTGCAGAGGACTAAAAGCTATTTTGTTTTCCTAAGGATATAATAGTAATTCTAAACACAATTATAATCAAAGTACAATGCTAGTGAGTGCACCTTAAAAGGCAGATCAACATTTGTATTTACATTGAAGGGTCATTTTTCTTAACAAAAACTTTCCGCTCAGTTTTAAGGAGACCCTATACAATTTGGCTAGGATAAGGAAATCCAAGGTCAATTTATTGTTCTATCAGATTCAGCACTAACACAGGAATAAAAATACACTTTGTTCTTATTGCTTCTGATCATCTTCTTCCTCCAGCTATAAGCCTAAATGGGATTTTTTTGTCATCATTTCAAATAACCTGGGATCTGAAATTAAAGAATAGTTTATAAGCAAAACTTGTTTCTTATTATCTCAAGATAATAAATGGCACTGAAAGTCAAAGAGAACAACAGACACATTTTTTCCTTTTTCTGCCTTAAAACAACAGAACTCTGCAAAAGATCTAAAATGGAAAAACGTATATATCCTTGCACTATAGGTAATGAAATAGAAGTTAGCATACCTAAGATTTTATATTTTATTTCAATAAGTCTACCATTATGCTATTCTATTAGGTAAGACTACAAATTACGAACTTCATTTTGAGTATTCAAAATGAAATTGCCAGCTGGGCACCTATCCATTCCTCCAAATTAAACCTCTGCCAATCAGGCAACCCAGGCTGAACATTAAAAATACACTGCGCATTAAAATTTTGCATCACTTGGTTCCCCACTCATACTCTTATTTGAAAAATTAATCAGTGCCTTTAATTTTGAAGGTAGGAAAATGGCCAGTGCAGTGCAAGATTAATGTCACATGCTCATTCCTAAATACAGACAGTTCGGCTCCAACTACAATTCCCAGAATCCAAAAAATGCAATGTAAGGTGGATTTACATAGCGGAGTGGAACTCTGTGCAAGTACTTGACTTTATTTTGAATTAGCTTTCTTGGGTAGAGAAGCAATGCCATGCATGAGCCTGGCTGTATTAATAAGCCTACCCTGTTCTCTCACCCAAGAGAGTTGATCTAAACAGGCACATCTAAAAGGACATTTGTCCTGCCTCACCTTAGAGAATTCTAAGAGCAGATGGTTTTAGGACAAAAAAACCTTGCACATCAAATAAGTTTTACTCAGCAACTCCTCCCACCATCTCAAAGGCTAGTTTAACCTAATATCCATTTCACTGGCAAAATTAAAAGCAACATTCTTATGCCTAGGTACACACGTTGCCAGTGGTAGATTAAAACTCCATCAGATAAGTGCTTTTTGCTCTATTACGACTACAGAAAACAAGATTTACTTAAAAAAAATAAATCTTCAAAGTTGTTTAAAAACAACACAGTCATTTTATAAGAATTAATTCATTAGAGTTAGGCTGGGCAGTTAAAAGTCACTGATACCAACGAAAGCTGTTTCTAACCTGTGCATTTTACTATTTAGATTTCATAATTAGAAGTGCAATCCCCTTTCATTATACTTGAAATTGAGCTGCCAAGTCTGATTAATATTCTAATACCTCCTTCCACCTGCATGTAAAATAAAATGTTTATTCTTTTCTCCTGCACAAGTTTGGACAGATGTATAGAGAAGTTAACGTTCATTATTAACTACAAATATTTTCATAACATGATGCCAAACTTAAATATTTAATTTTAAAAGAGTTGCTTAGTTACAAACCATATTCTGATTCACATTTTTGTGAGCTTTTTCCTGAATCATAAATTAATCTCATTCTAGCAGCATTTTTTTAGACAAATATTAAAAGTCTTATTAAAAGGCTTAAATAAAATTTGTGCATAAGCCTTTACATGTATCAGGGCACTACAATCCATATTTTAACCCCAAATGACCAATTTCTCAGGGAAATTTTACCACATGTTTAAGAGCATCCATACACTGAGTCTTCAAGCAAGATGCCCTGAATACTAAAGTTACTCAAGAAAACATTTCAAATTATTTTGACTACATTACAAAGGCTTCAAGAAGTAGAAAATTCCATATATCTTCCCAAAGCCTTGGCTGTTACTCTGGTTTTAGCTTACCTACTCAATTTGCTCAGCAAATACCTGATGTAGCTTAACAAAGTATAACATCTGGGCTAGTGAACTTGATTTTGACATAGGAATTAAAACTCTGGTTCTAAGTTACAGGCTCTTCCACAAGTTCTCCAACAGAGTACAGATAGCTCGATCCACACGAGGATCTTTTTTCTTCCTGGTATATGTATATTCCTAGTATATGCTCAGTGTACCACGGGACACCTCCCTAGATGAATTCAGCTTCACGAAAGAGAAGTTGTACTATAATCAGTTCTGAGCAACAGGATTTGTGAACCTACACCTCCATTACCTAAAGTATGGCTCCGTGCTGCACAATTAATTTTAAAGTAAAAGATGAAGCTCACAATGCAGTCCTTTTGTAAATTTGCATTGTGTTCGGTTAATGCTTAGCCAAGACCCCGCTGCGTTACGGTCCATTTGAAGAAAACCAGCTCAGGGAAATCCCAAAGCCACAGTCCTCCACCGCTTCGCTGCTTCCAGACTGATGCCTCAGGGATGTCTGACCGCATCACACGCTTCTGATAGCGAGGTTTTGACTTATGGTCGCCTCGTGGAGGCCTCCTACCTCCGGAGGAGCGTCATGCAGGCACCACTCAACGGCGGCAGCATCTCAAGCCCTCTCCTGACAGAGGCCAGCGGGCTCCCGATCGCTACTACGAGCCTCCCCGGGACCCCTTTTGTGGTGAGCAGCCCGCCCGAACGGACGGACGGCCTGCCCGCCGGGAACAGCGCCCACAGGGGCA